AATCGACTATACGGGTTGGCAACATTGGTGTATCAGAAATGGCGGATTAAACGAACGTAAATTACCACGCTGCAGTCCTCAATCCAAGCAATCCCTAAATACTCCAGCACCACAGGAGCTATCGTGGCGAGCCCGAAAACTTCTAGCGCTCATCCCAGCGCGCCACTTGGAGGGCAGTTTCTCCAGGAACCGTAGTATATTTAAACAGCAAAATAAAGGGTAGTTTTTTTTTTCGATTTTACTTACTATTGTTTTTTAATGCCGACATTCCAAATTGTAAATATACGTACTTTCCCTCACGCTTTCGTACTGTTTAGTCCTTGCCCCAGAGCGCAATCGCTCTCGGGGACGAGACAATTCCGACAGTCATATTGGCCACTGTACGATAGCGATAAGAGCTTCTACTGTTCAGACCAGCGTTCCAACATGACTATCCGCACGTTGATCGATTGCTCGTAATCCCTCAAGTGGTATTAAACTTTTTAATGTAAAGCGGAATGCCAACCTGCGACACCCCGCCCCCTCATCACGGCCCGACCAACGGCATCAATGCCCCAGTTTACGATCTCATCTTGTTGTTACACCAATGATACGCGAACACACGGTCACATCGGCGATAATTCCAGTCTCCAGTTCACAACCCACAACACTGTCATCACGATGTTGCAGCTATGTTGCTGACACGCACAAATACAGAACCACGTTGAACGCCGGTTGCACTCGGCATCAAAAAACAGAACCGACCTCAGCACGGAAGGCACTCAGGCAACCGGCAGCAAAACCTGCCTGTCTTGGACGCAGTTCCTGCGGTTTCCATAACTTCGAAAACGTCGACCCAGTTCCGCGTGGTTTCGCCACTGCAGTGACTGTAGTTCCGTCGGTTCGCCGCGCGCGCGAGTCCCGCCGCAATCCGGAGACGGCCATCCCCCAGTGTACGTGCGCTGCTGGCACTGCTCCGGAACTTCGCTGTTTCTAGCGGCTTCGTTTGCTCGTTTGATAAAATTAGTGATAAAAACGTCAATGCAACCGAAATGTTCTGCACGTTTAGACTAGAAGACGGAATTACAGGTGGCCTTCACTGCCGCTGAAGCTCAATCAACTCAACAGCTATTTATTAAACAACGTGCGCGACCTGCTCGAAAAACGAAACCGAAAGAAGATGAGTCGGGAAAGCGAAAGCTTTCTCCCGTCTGCCTAGAGAAGGAGAAAAACGTTTCGTTCCTCCACTTTTCTCGTGTCCGCTTGGGGGCGCGTCAGTAGAAGGGAGGAAGTAGGGAGGCTGTAGTGAGGGTGGGCGCAACTCAAAACCTGGAGAGCGTTTGCAATTTAATGGCGGCGCCTGAGGGAGAGGATTTGAGAAAGGATATGCGCCAGTGTTGCCTGCACGAGAGCAGGCGCCCGCTCTGTTGCAACTCTGTTGCTCCATGTGCCTTTCCTCCTCTCGCCTCCCATTGCAAGCAACGAGCGCCTTGGCGCAGCCTCTCTCGCTTCCTTCTCGCTTCGAGAATTGCAAACGTCGAGCGGAGAAAGCAAAGTTGCCAGACAAGCAGCAACGTCCAAGATGGCGGAATTTACCATTTTTCGCGTTAAAAAAATACTTAACCTATCGCAACAAAACTGGTGCCTATAGAAAAGTAATAATTTATACCTTGTGTAAATTATTCAAGCACCTTAATGGGCTTTTATGACCCGAGTTAGGAAAGTAAACGACTCTTTGCCCCATAGACTCCCAGCAAAATTTAGCAATTAAATGGCGTCCATGTCCCGTGATCGCCGATCTAGCAGTTGCACCCACCCTCACTTGAGCCTCCCTAGGAGGAAGACGCGCCGTTGCTACTTTTTTCCTCCATTTTTTCTTAGAGTGTAGGATCTGCGGTTCAGACCAGCGTTCCAACATGACTATCCGCAAGTCGATCAAATGCTTCATATACTCCCTCAAGTGGTCTTAAAACTCTCTAATGTAAAGCGAAATGCCAACCTGCGACACCCCGCCCCCTCCGATGACGGTCCGACCGGCGGCATCAATGCCTGACAGTTTAAGTCATCTCAACTTGTTGTTACACCACTGATACGCGAACAAACGGTCACGCAGCGATAGTTCCAGTCTTACGTTCAAAACGTACAACACTGACCTTGCGATGTTGCTGCTATGTTGCTGACACGCAGAAACACAGAACCACGCACGTTAATTGCCGGTTGGCACTCGGCATCGGAAAACAGAACCGAACTCGGCATAGAAGGCACCCAGGCACCCGGCAGCAAAAACCTGCTTGTCTTGGACGCAGCTTCTGAGGACTCAATAACGTCGTCAACGTCGACACATCGTTTCGCCATACGGAGGAAGCCACCGAAGCCCAGTAAACATTGGGCTGCTGGCACTGCTCTGGAACTTCGCTGTTTCTAACGGCTTCGTTTGCTCGTATGATAAAATTAGCAGTAAAAACATCAATGCAACCAAAGTGTTCTGCACGTTTGGACTGGGAGACTGAATTACAGGCGGCCTTCGCTGCCGCTGAAGCTTAATTAACTCCACAACATTCATTAAACAACGTGCGCGACGTGTTCGAAAAACGAAACTGAAAAGACGAGGAGGGAGGGCGGAACCTTTCTCTTGTCTGTCTGAAGGAGGAGCAAAACGTCTCGTCCTTCCCGTTTTCTTGTGTCCGCTTGGGGGCGCGTCGGTAGAAGGGAGGAAAACGCGCCGTTGCTACCTTTATCCTCCTTTTTTCCTTAGAGCGCAATATGAATGTGCCTGAAGCGCGCCTCCGACTAGTGTGTTTACCGCGTCCAAACAAAGTGGTCCCTCGATTTCTGCCTGATGACGTCATAGAAATGTCATGCTGTCTCCGGTCACGATCCTGGCGGCGTCCCAGCAGCGGTGGTGTATGTAGCAGACGCCTATTCTGCTGCAGGTCGCTCTCCAGCTTGACGTTTCACGGAAGCTTCAGCAGCGCCAGGAGTTGAGACCCAGCGAACGATAGCGACACTCGTGTTCGGCCGTGCTTTTCGCCAACATTTCTACGACCGATCGCCAGCATCGCGACATATCCGACAGCATGCCAGTCCGGCTTATGAGCGTCATTTTTCGCCACTTCGGGACTACTTTCATTCAATGTATCGGACAAATAGGACGCTGACACACCAGTCAGAGACAGACACGCGGACCAGGCACCAGTCCTGTACACGTTACGCGAAGAAGGTGATGATTACAAATCACAATTACTCTTGCCTAAATAGAATGCCATTAGATTACTTGATTACTCAAGACGAAAGGTGGTTGGCCGTTACTTGAGGAAGTAATTGTTGGGTCTTTCGTACTGACCATTATCCGATTAGAACCACCGAATTATGGTCTACTAATCTATTTAATCCACTAATAATCCATGTCATCTACTAATTTTGGTAATCCATCCTCATATCGGAGATTCGGTTCGATGATTCTTTGTAGAAAGTTTGTACGAACGAAAACAAAGGGCGCCATAAGAATCGGGAGTTAAAAAAAAAGTAACGGTTGCAAGTAATCTTAGCACTTCCAAAGGTAATCGTTTTACACTTGCGATTACTTCCTAATAATAGTAATCAAATGATAGCACAATTACCCCAAAGTGTAATCGATTACAGTAATTTGATAACTTGTAAATAATACCGTAAAATTCAGCCAGGCACTATGCTAATACCACTCACTCAAGAGAGTGGTATTAGAGAGGTTGCGCGTAAATGGCCCCTTTTCGATTCGTTCATTTCCACCACCTTTTAACAAGAGAACGAAGACAGCTTACTTTATCGCCGATTCGAGCAACCTTCCCCACCGTTGCATGCTTACAGACACCTTTTCTTGAAGGCCTGTTGGTTGCGCTTAAGCCTAATACAAGATTTGCGAATAATGGCTATTTGACACGGACTGGCAGCAGTGCTAATTTGTCCGCTTTTGACGAGACCTTTGACAATGTTTTCTATCCACCGAGTGTGAGGCGTGCCACCACGAAGGACTCATGTCGTTTCGCCAAAACATGTTTCGCGGACAAATATTGACACACGTTTCGTCGACAAGGAAACGTTTCGTGCACTCGCGACGTCTCACGACGTATGTTCGACAACGTTTTTTTCGTCTAATATTTACAAAGTGAATTAGGTTTTGTTACTAGTTTTACTTTGTTCGCTGGATGTATACCAGAACCATTGCGAGGCACCTAAACGGCCCCGGCTAGGCTCTACGCGCGGTAACCCCCTCGCTCTGCTCCACTCCACTCCGCCCCGCTCCGCTCCGCTAAGAGAAAATGAATTAAAATCACAGGCCTGAGTTTGCACTACATCTCGTCGGAACCGCCATGGTTTTAGGCAAGCTAGTCTGTCATCTGAATGCCAGCGGCCGAGGCGATCTGCGCGTAAACACTCCTTTAAACAAAACGTCGCAAGATGTGTCGATAAAAGGAACTCGCACGCCTTTCGATGGAACAATATGTCGACGAAACGATCTGTCGATGAAACGTCGCTCGTCAAACTGACTGCCACCGCACCGCCGGCCTGATGGCCATGCCATGTTTACGACACGTGGCATCGTGAGTTTCAAAGGAAGGAAGCAGGTAAGTTTCATTGAGCACTGCGATAAGACACGAAACAGTCTCATGGGAACGCACTGACAACCCCGTCTCTTATTCTTGTTCCCTTACCGTATTTTTGTTGACCGAAAAGAAAAAAAGAGCAAAAGACCAACCATTGTTTCGCACTTTCTCCACCGCGGGTTCACCACATCTGTCCCCGCACACGCCACGGGCGAGATAACGATGCAGGTAAACAAGTGATATAGTTTTCGGTCGGTGAAACCGGTCTGAACCGCCCCGGCGAGAGATCCATTCACTCTAAGCTCGCGTCAATCGTATCCAATGGAGATCGTTGCTCAATCTTAGACAATTATATATACGCGAAAGGAAAAGAAGAAAAGCATGAACCGAAGAGACCGATAAGGGCTGGTGTACGCTAGTCTTGAGTCACGCCATATCGGCCAGCGGAAGTTTGGGGGATAACAAGACCGAGCGACTCTGATCGAATACACACAGTGAACAGTCTCCCCCGCTCGCTGACGGACGTGGTGGTTTTGTTTTCTTCCCGCTCCCGAATGGTCGCGTTTTCGCTTTAGTACGAAGCTCGTTTTGTTTTGAGATCGAAGCATATTCCTACCCGCCTATACTCTTCGAGAATGGTGAGTTTTCTAACATCGTATATCTATATATCGCGCGATAGAACGACGTTATCGAAGTCACTGAAGTGGGATATGTACGCTACGTCCTGCCTGCTTTTTTATACACTATAAAAAGAAAAGTCTGTGCGTCTACTTTCACGCACAACACTCGGAGAACCAATCAGCGCAACGTTTGGAGGCAGCTCGGGGAATAACAATGCCCGAAACATCTGTTTAGACGAAATAACGCAGACTGAGTTGTGACATTAAGCAATGCAAGCGTGACGTTTAGCATTGCCTAATGTCACAACTCAGACTGTGTTTTTTGTTCTTAGCAGATGTTTCGACATTGTCATTTACTGAGCTGCCTCCATAAGTTGTGCTGATTGGCTCTCCGAGTGTTATGCGTGAAAGTAGACGCACGGACTTTTTTTTCGAGTGCATAGACACGCAAGGTGTGGAAGAGAGTCCTTAGCGTATTAATTATTCATCGCTCCTCAGCCAGTGGGATTAAGGCATTGGCAGACAAGACAGAGAAGCAGGCGTTTATTAAAACAGTGATGCCATCCAGCGCCTTGTGCTGGTTTGCTACACTGTATAATGAACGGAATAACAAAAAACAAAATAGACAAGAACGCCGACGAACCGATCAGAAAGCGAGAAGCCGCTCCACTTCAAGCCCGACCGCAGCCGACGCCACGATCGGAAGGAGCCAATCAATGCAGCACCAAAAAGTGCATCGTCACGGCGCTTGACGTCCTTTTTAAGTTTGTTGTCATCGACTAAACCAACCACGCGTAAAAAAAAAAAAAAAAAGCGCTGCGGCGCATTTACATTGCGTGATTGGTTTATTCGGTGATAGCCGACTAAACCAATAAAAAAAATGATGTCCATGACGACGCACTTTTTTTTTTGTCTCCGCTTGATTGACTATGACGGTTTTGTGATGTCGGTTGCCATCGTACATAACGAGGAGAAGACCGCATAGCGCATCCAATAGGGATTGAATATGACTATGATTGGGTAAAAGAAAAACAAAATACACAGAGAGTGATAGGGTCCGCGTAGGTGATTGGCCCTCTCTCCCTTTTGCACGTGCTTCCTTCAGGTCGCTTGCACATACGAGTACAGCCATGATTGCATCGCGAAGATAGCGGCTCGTTTCCGAGACGCGACTGATGTGTTACATAACTTATCGGGCCTTGCGTCATCTTTCGAACGCCTCTTTTGTAACTGCGTGAGGCTTCCTTTATCGTTACCTTATCTTTTAACTAAGCGTTTGCATGTGCGTGTTGGATACGTAATAGAGCTCGTTGCTCTCCTTACTTCTAGTGCAGTAATTATTTTAAAAAAAATACATATTTTTTGTAATTTCACTAAAGGCGTACGCTTACTTCAGATGTGCGATTATAGCAGTGATGCCAGAAATAGGACGTGGTAATTTTCAATAAATTCGAGTATAATTATTATTATTATTATTTTTAAAAAATAAACATCAGCATGGAGATGCCAGCTCTTTGAGAGCTGCGAAGCGTCTAAAGTTTATTTATTTAGATCATGAATTGTTCTCAAATTGGCATACAAATCTAACTTTTTTTCTTAATTATTTTAGGCGCAGTCATTCTTATTTCGCGCATCATAGTTTCGCGCAAAATAGCGGCAGAAAATGGGGACTAAGGTTTACGCTGCTCGACACCGTTAGCGCAAGCACGATAGAGGCTCTTTTTCGTATTTTTCTTCGAAAGTGTCAGATAATAAACTTTGCACTTTATAAATTTATTTACCAAATGGTTTTTTTTTATCACAATGGTAGTTTTGATTACAACCTTTTAATTCTACCGGATAGAAAGAAGAGAAAAAAAAAACTGACAATCACCTGTTTACGCTAATAGTGTCGGCCAGTGCACATCATGGCATTCTGTTAACATAGTATCAACATGTACCTGTACAAGTGCACTTGTGTCAAGAGAGGCGAACTTTTTTTGTGTGTTATGCCTTAAAAACTGAAGTTTGTGAAAGGCGTTTTGTAAAGTATTATCTCACCAAGGATAGAATTCAAAGTTTATATGTCAACCTAAAACTATTCAGGGAATATGTCCGGCAAGGCACACACAAAATGAGACTGAAAAATAAAGTAACGAGCAACACGCCGGAAAACTTTGTGTCGCGTTGCCCGTTATGTTTTTTTTTGTCTCATGTTTTTAATTATAATGTAAACATTTTTTTAAAATTTTTACGCTTGTTGAAAGTCACTGTCTACACGCAAGTGAACAAGCTCTATGCTTAAGGCTACTCTGGCCACTAAAAAACTTTATTTATTTTTTTTTGTGGGTTTATAAGCAGTTTGAAGCAACTTTTGGAACCTTTGTGGACGTAGAAGAACTTTTAGTTGGGCTAGTTGGTGAACGTTTGAACTAATGGTCTAAGGCGCCCTGTATGTCTGTTTTCTCTCTTATGACCGTTGTTTTTTGCGCCTTACACCATAACTTCCTTTGTGGACGTGTAAGCGGTTTGAAAGAAGGCTTTGCATTTCTTCTTGGTTGTATAAACAGTTCAAACAAATTTTGGAAGTTTTAAATATTATTTTTAGATTACTACTATTGATATTTCTATTAGTATTATTATTTACGGGCAAAAAGCAGTATTTGTAGTTTTTGCGAGCAGTTTTCAGAAGCTTTTGATATTCTTGTGTACGTGTGATCAGATTTAAGCAGTTCTTATGAGTGTATCATCGGTTTCTAAGCAGTGTTTGTGGGAGCATAATCCGTTTTGCAGTTCTGACCGTTTTTACTGGCATAAAATAAGTGTTTAAGCATTTTTTGAATTTTTTGTGTGTGTATACGTAGGTATCAAAAAGTGTTTACGGTTTTCATAAGCGTAAAATCAGTTTTTTTAAGCGGCAGTTCTTGCAAAAGTATAAAGTTTTACGTGTTTTTTCTATTTTCCGATGGCCTATACCATAAAACACATTTGCCGTCAGAAAACGGTGCCGTAAAATAACCAACAATTCCGTTTTTGCTGGCGTCTGTTTTAGGTGACTTGCGCCTTCCGCCAATGGGGAACGGTCAATAAAAGGTTGCTTATAGTCCTCTGCGCTTAAGGAGACATATAGTTTGCCGATGAAAAACGTGTACATTCAGCCAAGACATCAGAACGAATGTAACCTCTCTGCATTTTTTTTTGTTTTCGACGTACAAAAACACAACAAAAACAACAAAGAAGCAAACGTCTCTTTCAAATAGTGCCATCTACAAGAAAAATATAATTACATCTATTATGCAAAACCCTCCACCCTCCCAAAAGAAAAAAAAAAAAGAAAAGAGAAAGGACAAAAAAGGGGACATTTAGTATATTCGTTTTCACTACAGAAATCACAGTAAAAAATAAAAAAAGACCGTCTCCTAGCGGAACGTTATCAATTTGCCCCTTCACGTAATAAATTATGAGAACTACTTCATGCATTCGTCGTCCACCAACTCCCAATGAAAAGTTCCAAAAACTGTTTATAAGTTAACATTTGATTAAGGTAACGGTTAGTTCTAAAACTGCGGCATCGGGTCGAGACCGCTGGCGCTCACACACTTGGCCGGAGACTGAGCGCTTCCGCGATACCAAGTGTTTTTAATCGTGAAAACAAAATCACGGTAAATAGTTTTCTAAAACTCCGAGCGCGGATTGAGGGTGTGTCGGTTGCTGTGCGCATGAGGTGCTGTGTTTCATTTCGAGTTTTGGGGTTGTTGGAGTGCATCGACCTATCGCACGAGCGTGAAAAACATGATTGCCGAAGGGACCCATCTGTCACACGGAAACGCAGGTGTTTACCTCTGGCTGATACTTCGATCAGCTGTTTGGAGTTACTGGCGCAGCTCGTCTGTGTATTTGTAGTGGCCAATTCATGTAAGTGGCTATGACAGCTGGAACCAGATCTAGGAAAATCACTTCAGCGGCGGTACACTGGAGCACAATTGAAAGGTGAATTAATGCTGCCCTTCCCAAAGTAAGCAGCTCAACTAGAAATTGCCTACCCAAACAGGATACGAATAACATTATTGAGAGACATCTTAAGGTTTGATGTCATTTGAGTGCCTCGAAGAATCGACCACGGCGAGGTCGCAGAGGGCGGGGGGGGGGGGGGGGGGGGGGGGGGGGGGAGGGGAGGGGAGGGGAGGGGAGGGGGAGGGGGAGGGGGGGAGCAGGAATCTCGGCCAATCAGGAGGCCGATAGAAACGTTTTGACCTATACATGGTCGGTGACAGGTTAAGAATTCGGTAGATGCTCGCTGGCCAGGCTGGCTCTGCAGATCGCGGCGATTCGTTCCCCAAGTATACGTTCTACGTGAAAATATACGTACAGGACACATTTATACGGCGAGGAAGCCTTCTAAATAGTACAGAGAACGGGGTAGAGAACGCGCGACGACGATGCAGTCAAGCTCGCGCCGTCATTGGCTGAAATCGGATGGTAAACAAACGCACGAGGCGCGCAAGATGCAAGCGAACTTGCTCACCGTATACACCGTTTCACACAAAAATGGCGCGTTTACGACTGCGGATTCGCGGGCGGGTCCGCGTAGGCGGAAAGCGGATTTCGGAGCCGCGTGGCGAAATCGACTCGTCGCTGGAACAGAAACCCGGATCAGTCCGGGACCAACATATCCTGATTTTCCGCCAGCGACGCGAGTCGAATTTCGCCACCCTGCTCCAGAATTCAATTTTCCGCCATCGCGAATCCTCCCGCAAATCTGCATTTGTATAGAAGCGCCACGAATGCTTGGAACGCATGCGCGAATAATCGTCCGAATATCGCACGGAATTCGGAATGTGCGAAAATCGTTCCATGCTGTCTTCGACAAAACAGGGTAATTATACTTCACGTACACATATAAGACCTGGTATTGTTAAAAGCGTTTGTTTAAGAGATCTGCACGGTAACCGCCCATTCACACTTGTAGCGGATCCGCGTTCGCGAAGCGGTTGCGAACGCGGTTGTATAAAGATTCAGTACAATTGCACGCGCACTCG